TACAAGCCATACAGCCTTTTCTGGAATACAGTTTTTCCCTGTGGAACATCAGAATTATTAACACATCATAATAGCGAGTTTGACTAGTCAGTGTTCCAGTAGAATACAGGCTCTGAAAATTAAGGTGTTGGGTTAAAAAATGAGGAACTGACACATATAACCTGCACGTGCTCTCTTTTAGGGATAGACCTGCCGTTTATGATGATGCCCCACCCTCTGCTTCCCGTCAGCCTACCTCCTGCTTCAGTTGCAATGGCAATGAATCAGATGAACCACCTCAATACGATAGCTAACATGGCAGCAGCAGCCCAAATGCACAGTCCTCTTTCCAGGGCAGGGGCCTCTGTTATAAAGGTAAGAGTCATCCCTGAGACTTAGAAAAAGTAGCTTTTTGTGGCTAACAAAACATGTACAGTGACTTTCTTAAGAAGGTAACTAAGAGGCAATGAGCTTGTACTGCCTATAGCACACCTGATCTGCTATTCCTGATAGTGCTTCAGTGTGAGGAAATGCCTGGGAATACAGTCACGGAGTTAAGATGCTCTGCTCTATCTGAAAATCTGTAATGTCATTGAACACAGATACTAACACTCACTAGAAGCTAGGGGAATAAGCATTGCTGGGCCCCTCAGTTCAAGAAGGACAGGAACTGCTGGAGAGAGTCCAGCGTAGGGCTACAAAGATGATGGAGGGAGTGGAGCATCTCCCTTATGAGGAGCGGCTGAGGGAGCTGGGGCTCTTTAGTTTGCAGAAGAGAAGACTGAGGGGAGACCTCATTCATGGTTATAAATATTTAAAGGGTGAGTGTCACGAGGATGGAGCCAGGCTCTTCTCGGTGACAAACAATGATGAGACAAGGGGTAACGGACACAAACTGGAACACAGGAGGTTCCACTGAAATTGGAGAAGAAACTTCTTCTCAGTGAGGGTGACAGAGCCCTGGCCCAGGCTGCCCAGAGAGGTTGTGGAGTCTCCTTCTCTGCAGACATTCAAAACCCGCCTGGACGCCTTCCTGTGTAACCTCACCTGGGTGTTCCTGCTCCGGCAGGGGGATTGGACTGGATGAGCTTTTGAGGTCCCTTCCAATCCCTAACATTCTGGGATTCTGTGATTCTGTGCTGCATCTGTTAAAGCTCAAAAGCTGTTCTAAAATGTTGTTTAAAATCACAATGTTATACTTAAAAGAAAATAGTGTAGAACATAACAGGAATTTTGGTGCAGTGTGATTCTAGAACAGGTTAATAGTAAAGAAAACCATCAGAAGTACCTTAGTGTGAGTATAGTCTCCAGTAACCACAACAGATTTTCCTTCTAGTTGGTTAAAATGTGTTCATACTTTTGAGAGGCATCTGATAGTCTCTTCCAAGCATGTTGTTAAGAAAATTTCATGCCTGTGTTGAGAGCTGAAGTCTTACCACACACTAAAAAATAGGTTGAGACAAGAAATGTTCGTAGTAGAAGGATGTAGGATCAGTGCGTGTGAAGGATGGGCACTATGGGATTCTCTAAAACACAGTGTCTCCTCTTTTCATTGAGGAAAAATGAAAGGTTTTATCAATCTTTTGTGTGTATTTGCATGCATGTGCATGTTTCTTATTGATAAAATAACGTTTTGTCAGCTTCGAAAGGTAGTTATTTTAGTTAATTTTTCTTTGTTTTTAAATATGTGAGTCTATAGAACAATCTGTTCTGGAAAGTACATTTTCTTATTTTTATATTTATGCTCTTTTACACTTGTGTATCCCCATCATTCTGGAATCTCAAAGTCCTGAGTTGCTTTATTGTAACAACTTTCACTGATTTGCTGAACTTAATCTCTCATATCTTTATTGGAAAACATCTTAATTATATAATATTGTTATTTTATCATTGAGAAAGTTACTGTTGCCAATATTACAGACCAATTGTGAGAGTAAATTAGTTAGAATGGTGGTGTAGTTCCTGTTGTCACAGCTTCCCACTGCAGGAAATTCTGTTTCTACATTAAGCGAGGAAAGAAATTAGTAGTACACAACCACATGTTTATTTTTCATACTGGTATTTACTGATATCACCATACTTTCAAGTAAGAAAGCAAATCTCTTATCACATTACAGCAGCATAAAACATTACGCGTCTCTGTTGTTGAGGTTCTAGAGGTCTTTGTTTTTCTCCTGATCTTCCTCTCCCTGAGCATCTCCAGAATTGCCTCAGGTTGTTTTCTGTCTTTACTGAGAGTCCACTTTCAAATGGCAAATGTTGTTCTTAATACTTTGATTTTACTTACGTTTTATTTTCTCAGATTCTGGGAGGCTGGTAAAATTCAGGGGGGTGTTCCCCAGTTAGAGACTATTTAGGATTAAGATCTATAATAATTTCCCCTTATCATCGGTGTATCTGCACAGTTGTTGACTGCATGGAGGAAATGTGATATCTCTGCTGTCCAACTGTCCATTCGTTAATGCAAGTCACTGAATTGTTAGAAATTAATTGAGGTTCCATTTGTTTCACTCAGTAATCTTTTCTTTAGCTGTTCAGAGACCTCTTGAGAAAACCATAACTTAATTACAGCAGTGGAACATTTGTAGCAGCAAGTAGACTGCATAAGCTTTGATTATATTTTAAATGCTATCAGTACGTCAAAATGAAGATTAAATATGTATTTGTAAAGGATGCTAGCTCTTTGTAATATAAACTACAGTTCTTGCAAGCAGTTAGGTTTAAGGATGTTCTTTAGCAGGCCGTTGCTGATGCTAGTTACTCATTTACAGCTATTTTTTCCCCAACACCTGCACCAGAGGATACACAGTTATCTCCACAGCAGCAGTAGGTCTCACCAGCGCTCTGGTGGGAATTATTTCCTCCACATGATGTATAGGAAAATACAGCGGTAGCTAATGTGACAGAGGTAAAGTGTGCCTCCATTGCTGTGTTACTCTCACCTGTCAAGTGATGCTGCATCGTTCTCTCGCTTGTTCTGAGTGCTGAAACTGTAGATGAATTTTATAACAGAAAGTGTGAGGCTCCTTTTGTCCTTTCCTTCCCTTCTGTACTATCATCTGGCTCTGAGTGACGATCAGTTAAGATGAAATCCTTGTACAAAATGAAACGTGTAAAAGAAAAGCATTGCTGCTATTGTTATGTCAGTGGTATTACTTTTATTGCTTGACGTTATTTAAGTGCATTAAATAAGTACAAAAAAGGCTAGTTTTAGATAGACTGTGATTCCAGCATTATGATGTTACTTAAAATGGGAGAAATGAATTGAATCTGTTGAGTGTATATCTATTTCCATACTCCGATGACTAAAATACCACTTGGCCTGTTTTCTATAGGTGTGAGAATCAGCTGCTTTATAAAGGTTTTGAATGAAGTCATTATGCTTTTTATATCGCGTTTGCCATTTAGAAATAAGCTGTTCTACCGAGATATGCATGATCAGCAAAGTTAACATTTAGTGCTCCAGAAAGAAATGTCATAACTGTGAAACTTGATTTCTTCCTGACAGGAACACTATAAATTAGGCAGGCACAATGGCCAGGCTCACGAAGCCTTCTTAGCCATCTGCATTATGATCTGATGTGATTATAGCAGCACCCGCTAGCAGTGCTATAGCTACTGTCTGACAGTGCCCCTGTAATAAATCAAGGATTTCAGGCGTTTACTGGGCATCAGAAAGAGCTTGCGCCATTTGAAACTTGACTCAAATGGTTCTGATGAATCTTTGTAATTGAGGATCTTGTATGGCAAAACCAAGATTTGACAGCAACGCTGACTTCACCACCCTCTCTCTTCTCCCTCATGTGTCTTCTGTCCCGTTAGTTCTCTTTTTTCCAGAGCTCTTCTTCAGCGAGATGAACTCCAGTTCAATCCAGTTACTGGCCTAGGTGTAAAATGCTTTCCCAGCCTGGTCCAGAGGACCAGTCTGGGGTGGAACTTAGCTGAAGTACACCTGAATCGTGGTGTAGGCTAGAAACAGTTGGGAATAAAAACAGTAGTTTACTGTCATCTAATAATTTTGCTCCTGAAACTCAGAAAAATCTGTTCAGTGATGATATTTTCTGGAATATTGTGTCCAGTTCTGGGCCCCTCAGTTCAAGAAGGACAGGAACTGCTGGAGAGAGTCCAGCGTAGGGCTACAAAGATGATCAAGGGAGTGGAGCATCTCCCTGATGAGGAGCGGCTGAGGGAGCTGGGGCTCTTTAGTTTGCAGAAGAGGAGACTGAGGGGAGACCTCATTCATGGTTATAAATATTTAAAGGGTGAGTGTCACGAGGATGGAGCCAGGCTCTTCTCGGTGACAAACAATGATAGGACAAGAGGTAATGGGCACAAGCTGGAACACAGGAGGTTCCACTGAAATTTGAGAAGAAACTTCTTCTCAGTGAGGGTGACAGAGCCCTGGCCCAGGCTGCCCAGAGAGGTTGTGGAGTCTCCTTCTCTGGAGACATTCAAAACCCGCCTGGACGCCTTCCTGTGTAACCTCATCTGGGTGTTCCTGCTCCGGCAGGGGGATTGGACTGGGTGAGCTTTGGAGGTCCCTTCCAATCCCTAACATTCTGGGATTCTGTGATTCTGTGATATTTTCAGGTCTTCAGAAGCAGAGTTTGGACAGGCCCTTTATACAAAAGAGAAAGGATTTTTCACTGGAGTTTACAGAACAACTCAACTCCAGAGCGCAATAACTACATAACGTTAAGATTTTTATTTTACAGTGGACCTATAATGAATATGACTGTGTAACAAATTCCTATCACTATTAGTATGCATTCACAGCATATTATAGTTTATCATAAAGGAGCTGTTAAGACTTGTGCTGAGAACACAAATTGAATTAGAATGCTGAAAGCACACCTAAATCTTAACAGATCATATAAATTAAATAGGGTCCAAAGGAGATGAATCAGACCGTGCCCATGTAACAGCTCTTTGTCCATAGTGGAGTGAGGCCTCAAGCTATGGATCCTTGAGCTACATGCAGTAAAGGCATCGGGAGTGTTAAGATAGTTTCATCAAGCCTAAAGTCTTGGTTTTTACAGATTAAGCCAGAAAGGGCTTAAGTGACAAAAAAACCTATTAGCTTACACATTTTCAGCCAACAGCCAGGGGGGAGGTTTGGTGTTAGGAAAGAGCAAAGAGGGCTGGCAAGAGCCAGGTGGCTATGGGAGCCTTTGAGTATTCACTGGAAGGCCGCTTTCTCAGCGGTGCTTTGGAACAGGTGTGGTTAGTGTGGGCTTGAACTGTGGGCACTGAATCCAAACCAGGGACCTTAAGCTGCTTCTTTCTGTGCTAGAGTTCTGAGGGTAACGAGGGAAAATTTTATCGCAGAGATTTGAGAGGCTCTTTACCCTTTTTCTCCCAGTTTTTCCTTGCTT